GAGAGAGAGAGAGAGAGAGAGAGAGAGAGAGAGAGAGAGAGAGAGAGAGAGAGAGAGAGAGAGAGAGAGAGAGAGAGAGAGTAGAGAGAGAGAGAGAGAGAGAGAGAGAGAGAGAGAGAGAAATATAGAAAGAGATTAAAGCTCTAAGTAGTCGGTGAGCACGCTCGTTTGTTGGTCTTAACCTAGTTTACAACCTATCGCGTACAAAAAAAACGCTATACGTCTTACGAAATAACACGATGTATGTAGAGAATGCTGGAGTGCAATTTGTTTTCGCTTGGACGTTAAAGGAATTGCCAAAATTATCCACACTTTCGATATATAGTAAAAAACGAAAAATAGCAGCGGGAATTCTACCCTCTCCTCTCCGCCACCAACAGGAAGAAAGGAGCGTCTTACACGTACAAATGTGCCCTCGTCATGGTAAAAAACAAAACATTCCCTACGTGAATTCTACGCTCGGCTGAAGGAAACGAGTTTATTACACATAGATAGCTCCAAGGAGGCTTTAATACGAAAAATACCTCTTACCTACGTAAATTTTATCCCCAGCTGAGGGAAACGAGTTTTTTATGCGTAGGTCCAAACGAAGCTTTGAGACGGAAAAAATCACAAACCCTGCGTATATCCCCCCCACCCCCCAGCTGGGGAGAATGGGTTTCTTATACGTAAGTCTAAACGAAGTTACGATGCGGGAAAAATCCCAAAACCTGCGTGAATTCCCCCCCCATCAGCTGGAGAGAATGAGTTTTTTACGCATCAAACGATACATTTTTTAAATCTTATAAAAACGCACGTTACCGGCGAAAAATACAGATAGGGCTACTAGTCTAACGGAACGCGGTTATAACCACAGAAATATACAAAGAGACAATATCTAACTAGTAGGCCTATTATTTCTATGGTTCGAACACTGCTATGCCTTCAAACAATGACATGAGCCGGATGTGCGCACGTCAAGGTAGCATAATTATGTAAAACCGGGTGCACAGTTTCTCAATTAACGCGTGCTCGGAACAGTCGAAGGTGACCGCCTGCCTTGATTGTTGTCCCATCCGCCGAGCGTCGAACCATTTTGGCGACAAGTTTTTAACACGCTGACGACAGCACAATGGAAAGCGAATTCGCATGCGTTTCTCACACACGCTTGGGGCTTGAGCAGGTCACAATCAGGCGTGAGGACGGGTGCGCTATTCTTTCGCTCGTAGCGACCTCGGTGGATGAAAATGAACGTTTCATTGTCGAGCACCCTAAAACTCTCACTTTCATCGCGACCGCGTTCACCTTGTGCGAGTGCACCGCGTGTTCTACTTATCGCCTGCTCCACAGCGGTGGTGGCTGTCTAGTGCGCAGGCATTTAGATAGTGTTGAGCTTTGTTGTAAGCGGCCTGACTGACTGACTGATTGTCTCTATAAAGGTGCGTTTATAAAGAGCGAGAGTTAGTGCGGCCAAAAAATGCGGAAGATTTCCGACGGAAACAAATGTGGAGATGTACATGATGACGGCGAAGATGATGATTACGATGGTAATGATGATGATGCTGAAGACGATGGTGATGATGATGACGATGATGAGGATAATAATAATAGTAGAAATAATCATACAGTAATTATAATAATAATGATAATGATAATAACAACATTTAAAAAGAAAACGATAGTAGAACACAAAATTAATAAGAAGAATAGAAGGAAAGAATAGTACTGGCGAATAACGAACAAGAATGGAGGTCACTAGACACGACATCCGAAAGTATAACATTAATTAATAGTAACATGTATATAAATTCTTAGTGCGATGGATAGCAGAGAAACTAAGGTCGATCGATCGTGATAACAAACAAATTAAAAATAATCATGGATAGATCGATGAACTACCGCAAAAAAATCGATCTGCGAAATTAGCAAAACATTGTATATACATATACATCAAGAGTACATAATAGAGATTGTCTATTAGAGATAATAGACATAGATATATATAGAGACATAGAGATATATAGATATAGAGTCTATAATTAGATATCTCTATTATGTACTCTTGATATACATATACATAGTATAAAACTGTAATACATAGCTGCTTATCAATCACATCACTGGCAATGCAACACAGCTCCGACGCTAAAGCCCGCCGCACACGCTGTGTTTTGGGCTGCGCCATCGGCCACGCGTGGCTGATGGCGCAGCACAAAACACAGCGTGTGCGCGTGCAAACGCATCGATTTCTTGCGTGTGGAAAATATCACACGTGTTTGATATTTTCTTCCACGTGTGGCAGATTGCACAGCGTCTGCGGAGTGGCTGTGTATGTACAACGGTTCTATGTAACCGACCAATAGCAGCAGTCCAAGCGAGTCACATCACGTGCATCTTAACTTGCGGTTGCAGCGCGGTGCACATCGGTACACGCACGTAAAACGCGGTACACGCACGTGCACGCGCGCGACACGCACGTACACGCGGCGTACACGCACGTACACGCAGGTACACGCACCGCGTACACGCGGGTACACGGAGATACACGCCACGACCACGCAGGGTACACTCACGTAACACGCGGCCGTTACACGCATCACACGCCAGAGCACGACGCCACGTACACACAGATACACGCACGTACACGCGGGTACACGGCAACTATGCACGCACGTGCACGCGCGGTACACGCCACGTACACTGGGTCACACGGATATACCACGCACGATAACGCATCGTACATCGCGGGTAGACGCACGCTACACGGCAGATACTACGCACGTACACGCAGATACACGCACGTACACGCGGTACACGCACGGTGCACGCCAAGCTGCACGCGGAGTACAACGCACGTACACGCGGCGTACACGCACGTACACGCCACGTACACGCGCGGTACCGACGCACGTACACGCAGATCACACGCACGTACAACGCGCGTGACACGCACGTACGACGCGGCGTACACGCACGTACACCAGATACACGCGGCGTACACGCGGATACACGCACGGTAACACGCCGAATTACGACGCAGCGCTACACACAGATACACGTACCGTACGTAGCGTGATCTCCGGTGTCACCCGCCTGTACGTGCGGTACTACCGCTCGCACTCTTGTCTAGTGGAACGTGCGTTACTCTGCTGGGTACGGTGCGTGTATCTGCGTGGTACCGGAGACCGCCGTGTACCCGCGTTAACGGTGCGGGGTCGGTACTCCAAACCATGCGCGCACGCCAAAATAAATTCACCGCGCCGATCTCAAATTGACCGTCTAATTCTATTTTAAGCCAATTAACAGATTGCGCAGCAATGTAAGAGCCACAGGCACTTGAAGCGTATCAACTGTAAACACGCCGCCGCCATTGCGCGTACACATACACATGAATATATAGTTTATATATATTTTTATATATATTTATGTGTATGTGTTTATTGTGTCTATATATTTATGTGTATGTGTACGCGCAATGGCGGCGGCGTGTTTACAGTTGATACGCTATATTTATGTGTATGTGTACGCGCAATGGCGGCGGCGTGTTTACAGTTGATACGCTTCAAGTGCCTGTGGTAAGAGCGCTGACCCGGTTGTACTAGATTTTTGGCGCTCGCGCCTGTGGCAACCACGTCCCAGTATAATCAGATGCATGCGCCGCTAGGCAATATCATTCGGGTAATCATAATCGACCGGACACGGCCAGTCACACACGCACGATACACACTCTCGCAGCTTCGGAATGCGAGATCCCGCACCCACAAGAAATTAGTATTCTTTCGAAAAGTAAAACGTCCGTAGTAAATGTGTGTCAGTGTAGATAACCATTAAAAAATACGCGTCATTCGGCGAAAGAGAGAAAAAAATCGTAAGAAGAATCTATGAAACGGATAATAGCCGTGACTTATCGCATATTACCGGATTACGTGTACGGCCCATGTCGGTAATCCCACACACAGACACCACAGATTCGCGTTTTTTATAACTGCCGTAACAGTTAACATCCGCTAGAGAAGGGACCATGTATTGATAATGTCTACCACATCGGTCCTTCGAACAAACGGTGAGCATGCGTCTGATGAGCATGCGTCTACGGCATTTTGCCATCGTCGGAATTCTCTTTCTTCTCTCCCGATACATGATGTATACAGATATAGATGTACAGCCTCCGCTACCTGGCTCTCACCATGTAGATTCTGCCACCGTCTACCTTTACTCCACATGGATATAACAAACTGCCCTACAGTCGCGATGCTGGTTGCTATACGACTATTGCTTGTACGATATCATTTATATACAAGTATATTCTAATTGCTTATTTAATTCTAATTCTAATGATATATTATATAATATTAACATTAATAATTATAATATACAAATTATATTATAATTAACATTATTTAGTTTAATATATAGAAGTATCATACCTGCTTATATGTTAGGTGCCATTATGCGTGCCCACACACGTGCATGTAGTGGTAGTCTTCCATCGACGTTGGTGTCGTCCTGGTAATATAGAGCCAGCTTTCGTTGTCGCTATACCTATTGTAATGGATACCTGCACACCTGTTTTACCTATACCTGTATACCTAAATTAGACAAAATGTGGATAAAGGTCGATCAAGTGCAATGTCATAATATAATAATGCGCATATAAATGAAGCCGACTTAGTGATGACGCGCCTGTCACAGTCAAGATGAGAGATAGGCGCCACCTGTCATTTCATGTTGCGACTGGAAGAAAGGTAGCCGGTGACGCAAATCTCTATTATGTGGATGGACCCCCTACTCACGTAGCAACCATCGCTGTGCTGTCAACTGTGAACAAACTGCCCACGTCGCATATTCGCAGATTCTGGCATATAGCCAGATTTTTCAGTGAATTTAAAGTGAAAAAAAACTGTCGAACTTGTACAGTAAATTTGAAAAGAAAAAAACAGTTCGATATAGTAGGAATAGACCGGTAACGTAACGTGAGCAGTCCATTACAAGAGGTAAAATATATTATTTAAAAAGGGTGAACAATGGAATACTTTTATTTATACAAAAGCAGCACTTAAAAGCGTGTAAAAATTTCTAGTTTGATCCTTAATTCAACTTCATTTTGACAAGGGCTGAACCTCGTGATACTAACCTTACAGATCTCAAAATAAACATTAAATCCAGGTTTAATATTAAAATTATGCAGCACATCTATATGAATAACCTTTTTTCTAATAACTAAATCTTAAACTATATATGTATATATATATAACGAGTAGAGGGAGCAAGTATACAAACACAAAATGCACATTTCCCTAACAATAAAATTTTTATATTTCAAAATTAATAACCACAACAAACACAAGTTATTGCCCTAATTTCCCCTAATTCCATTATCAACGCGTTACGAAACTTTCCCCCGGCGCGCGAAGGAAACGAATGACGATTCTACTTCGGCTGCACCATCTTCTTCTCCGCGTCGTACACGTACCGCCTGAACGCGAGAACGATCTTGACCTCCTCCCGCTTCTCTCCCGCCGCGCTCTCCACTTCCGACTTCCCCTTCCCCTTCCCCTTCTTCTTCCCCTCCAGCAGCGCCGCCGTCTCCGGTTTCACCCCGGCCGGAATCCTGACCTTGAACTTGCCGCTCTGCCCGAACCCGCCCTCGATGACGCCATCCTCTCCGGTCGACAGCGCCACCTTCAGGCCGACGAATCGATTCACATTGCTCTCGCGCTTGAACAGCGCGCGTCCGACGACGGTGTAAGCGTCGGCGACTCGCTCCGCGATGCCCTCGCGCGCCTTCTCCTTGTAGACGCGCAGCCGCGGCAGCAGCGTCGCCGCGTAGCCCGCGTCGGTCGCCGCGGCAACGACGCGGCCGTGGAACGCGAGGCGGCACGCATTGGCGTGCGCGTCGGCGTCGAGCCGCGAGCCGATCACGATCGAGTCGCGAACGCACGTCACCGGGTGCTCAAACTCGAGCAGCGCGAACTGCCGGCCTGTCGCCGCGGCGACGACGCTCGCCTCCGATTCGCCGCCGCCGCCGCCGCCATTCTCGTCGGATTTCGCGTCGGGGAGCTCGTCCTGGTAGAGGTAATCGGCGGAGAAGTCAAACGCGTCGGGATCGGCGTCGTCGGGCGGCGCGTCGGCACGCGCGAAATACGACACGCGCGCCATGACGGTGGCGTGCCCGAGACTGACGTGCATCTTCGCGCGCGTGCCGCAGCGCCCCTTGTAGTAGGGTATGCGCGCGACGAAAGCGACGGCGGCAGAGAGGGTCGGCAGCGAGCCGGGCGTCGCCGCGAGGCCGCGCTCGAGCAGGCGCGGGTCGAACTGCGTCACGCAGACGCCGACGCGGTCGCCCTGCGCCGCGCGATCGACGGGACGCCGGAACATCTGCATCGACTTGACGCGGCGCGTCGCTCCGCCGAGCGCGGGGATCTCGACGACGTCGTTCGTCGCCACGGCGCCGCGCAGCACCGTGCCCGTCATCACCGTGCCCTGCCCGCGCATCGCGAAGCAGTGGTCGACGGCGAACACGAACGGACCGGCGGCGGCGGTGGAGGCGCGAGCGGGCCGGTGCGCGCTCCGCCGCAGCAGCGCCACCAGCTCGTCGACTCCCTCCGCGGGCGTCGCGGCGTCCGGACCGCCGGGGCGCGCGGAGACGGCGACCATCGCTGTGTCGTCGTCGTACCCCATCGCGCGGAGAGTGGCGCGCAGCTTGCGACGCGCGCGCTCCACCGTGCGCTCCCGCGTCTCCGTCGGCAGCAGGTCCACCTTGTTGAGCGCGACGAGCATGCGCCGGCAGACGACGCGGCCCAGCACGAGGCACTCTGCCGTCTGCGTCTGCACGCCCTTCGTGACGTCGACGACGAGGAGCATGAGGTCGATGATCTGAGCGCCCCCTATGATCGTGCGAATCAGCGACGCGTGGCCGGGGCAGTCGACGAGCGTCACCTGCATCATCCCCTCCTCCTCCTCCTCCGCCTCCTCGGTCGTCGTGCGGAGGTGCTCAGGGAGGGGCACGCTGAAGCAGGAGAAGCCGAGGTCGAGGGTGATGCCCCTCTCCCTGCTCTGCGGGTTCTTGTCGAAGGAGGCGGTGCTGGCGACGGTGCTGAGCGCGCGCGCCAGCGACGTCTTGCCGCTGTCGATGTGACCGAGGACGCCCACGTTGAAGTTGAATGCCGGCGTCACCATGGTTACGCGTCCAGAGTGTCGCCTGCGCCGAGGATCGAGCGCCGCCACAAGGCAGGACTCAGAACTACAGCTACTGAGGTTCTAGTGAAGGTGGGGGATCAAGTCCTGCTGGGTGGGAGATGCCTGGCACTCGAACTACAGCTACTGAGGTTCTAGTGAAGGCAGTGGTGGCTGATGTGCAGACGATTCCGACTATGTGCGGAGTCTCGGTTAGGATCCGTCGCCGGACAATCGGGGAGGATGCGCGAGAGACAGACGCCGATCATTGGGTTGTCGGCATCAACCGCTCGCGTAGATCTGCGCGATGATCGCGCTCACCCTCTCCTCGAGACGCCGCAACTCCCCGCGAACGTCCGATGCCGCCGCGTCGCCGTCGCCGTCGCCGCGGCAACCTTCTTCCTGCCCTTCGACCTTCGGCGTCCCGATGGAGTCCTGCAGCTTGTACAGCAGGTCGTCCAGGTCCCGCTGCAGCCCGTCCAACTCTTCCGCCTGCGAGAGCGTCACGCTATTGCGCCGCAGGGACTGCAGAGTGCTGAAACGTAAAACAATAACAAATGAAGTTGGCGTCGCTGCCAGACAGCTGAAGGTTAGCGTTTCGAGTCGTTTCGCGTCGGATTTCACCCTCCAGCCACGCTGCCTACGTTTTTTTTTTCAAGACAAGGTGATTTATCATCTTTCGAACAGTTTAGTTTGTATCGTAGCGCGCTACAACATCAAATTTAAAGAGGTCAGACAAACATAAAACAGAAACACATCAACATGTCAACCGGATCCAGTTGTCCTGTCATAGAGGCGCAAACTGTTGCTGAATAACAACAAAATTCTCTGCGGCACTAAATCAAGGCATGGAAGCCACATGTGTGCATTAGGTCACATCACAGCATGACAAAATACTCGTCGTTATTGCTGACGATATACAGTTGCCCCTACACAAGAAACATAGACTTAACTGCTTTCACCTTAACTGAGCCTTCAGCTTGGAAATTTCACAGGCCAATTCTACAACATGCTTAAAGCCATCTTGAAATCCACCTTGCAATGCTTTTTCCTGCCCTTCTGCTATTCCATCTCTTACACCATCCTGCAAAATAGTCAAATATATCAGAAGGTATACGTCGCATTATTAATTCACTTCGTAGCATTTCAGGCTTGAACCTAACAAACTCTAGGTTCAAATATTCGTATGTACCACTCATTGCATGAGGATAGTTCAAACTAACCTTTGTTAGAATACACCGCTACAGAAAAGCCACCTGTTCATAATAGCCGAAAATCTCCAACGCTGATAAATTCTGTTAAAAAAGTGTCCAGGGCAGTACCGCTCATAGGGTCTACGTCCCCCAGGGTACTGCCGGAACGTACCCTGGGTATGGTCCGGTATACCGGAACGTACCCTGGTAACTATCTGATATGGTTAGGGTTAGGATTAGGGTTAGGGTTAGGGTTAGGATTAGGGTCAGGGTTCGAGTTCGGCTTAGGGAGTAGGCGTAGACGGCGGGGGTAGCGGCAGTACCCTGCTCAATGTGGCCAGAGGCTGCTGTTTTTGTATCCCTTGATCAAGCTCCAACTGCACACAGTGGCCATATTTTACTCGAGGCAATAACTACAACTACAACTATAACTAGACAGAGGGCACTCAAAAAGAGTGTATACCTCCGCGAGCGGGTAACATGTATACATGTGTATAACAGCTGGCTTGCTGCTGGCTGGACGCCAGCGAGCTGCTGCTGACTGGACGGCCTAAGGCGAGCTCGTGCTGAATCGATCGCGCCAACGCGTGTAACATGTATACATGTGTATAAGAGCTGGCTCGCTGCTGGCTACACACACACACGAACACACACACAAACGCATGACACGAGAGGGATCACATTACCTCCCTGCAACTCCGTTGCGCGGAGGTAACTACAACTAACATCCACTGTACACCGAGTCGGCTGGCTATAACCTTGCGAGTCACAAGTGGCAGCTACGTAGGATGTCAGGGTTTCTTCTGAGGGAAAATTAGACAAAGGAGGCAATGGCCAGTTTGGGGGGAAAAACGGGCATGATGGATTCAAAGGCATGCCGAAGACTAGCTCTAGTACTATAGCCCGCGTACAGTTGCCGCTGGGCTATAGGACCAGCCATTAGAGATGCACGGGACAAAATTACTCCAGCCAGTCAACGGGAACTATGTATTTCCGCACGTGGAGGGGTGGGCGGGTTGTGTTGGTTGTGGACAAAAACATTGTTGTTCTCAAGTAACAAATTAATAATAGTAATTTGTTCATCTTTCATGACAAAACTAATATTACAATCTTTTTTGATCGCTTAATTTGTTACTTGACAACAACAATGTTTTTGTTCACAACCAACCCAACCCACCCACCCCTCCACGTGCGGAAATACATAGTTCCCGTTTGAAGTTCGCAAATCGAATGTTTGTTCACAAAAAATATCGCAAGTATACCATTGCAACGATAGTTAGAGGTTAAATTTTAGTAGCAGTTATAACTTAAGACATATTCACTTTGGATAAGAGGCATTAATTGCCTACCACAGACGTTTTATAGCCGCGAGTACGCGTGACTAAGTTGGTCCCGCGCATCCCTAATGGCTGATGCTATAGCCCAGCGGCAAATGTACGCGGGCTATATAATAGTACTAGAGCTAGCCGAAGGCATGCACGCAGAGGCTGCAGGTGGACTAATATGCCAGAATAACTCTAAATATCAACTCTGGCGCACACTCTAAATATGCCAGAAGCACGTGGTGATCTATTTATTTTTGGATTGACACCATTTTGACAACGGCGGGTAAATACATGAACATTTTCACAACGGCGATGTTAAATTTGACAACTGTGGTGCGCCACTGTGCCTCTTATGTATAAGAAACCCTGAATGTGCAGCAAGCATGAAAGAAGTTTAACAGCTTGATAGATAGCTGACAATTAATGATGGGCCTTAGTTTACTGATGATGAAACTGGCATAGTGAAATCTGCATCAAATGAGCACTTATACTGTGAAAAGTCCGGATTAGTTTAGCACATAAGCGAAAACGCATTTGCAGGGTCCCAAACTATCCTTGATGATCCATCCTCACTTAATCTCATACCATTTCCCCCACCTCCTCCTTTTTCCATTCCCCATCAGGGTTCTCCCCAGGATGAAATTGAAACAGGGGGAGGAGGGGGGGAACTAAGGGGGTCCGGGGGGCGTGTTTTTTTACTGTACCACTAATGCGTAAAATCGCCACCACACCATAGACGGTATTTGGTACTATAACACTTGTATATAAGATAGCCGAGTCGGTTTACAGTTAGTGTTAGGGTTGGGTTAGGGTTAGGGTTTAGGACAGGGTGACAGTTTGTACTTGTGTGTGGCTGCAGCGCATGCGTAGTGTAGGACTATTACGCATTAGGTAAAAATACACGCGTCCGGGGGTCTGGTCGAATGGGAATTCTTGACGAATGGGAATCGATGCGACTCACTGGACACACTAGGCGATTTTTCATGCGATCGCCTAGTGTGTCCACCACTAGTGTTACCACTAGTGTGTAACGGCACGTTACACGTCAGTGTAACGTGACTAAACCTACTCTGTGATGGGTTGGTTATCTGTACCCGTTTTGTTTACAATCACTTTCAACATACACATTATCAATAATGACAATATCACTATCAGGAGTAAATTACCACAAATTACATTGATCAAAGTACCGGTATGTGATTGTTTACTCCTGACATTATGCATATAAATTTTAACAGGACATTGCGAATTAATTGCTACTGCGCTAAGCCCATTTCTGATTTCATACTCGCACTTACAGTCAAACGGTCACGTCGAAGTCTGTCAAATTCACGTGATGCAACCAAAATATCAGAACACTCAGGAATAGACACATCCCTGTTTAATTCTAAACTGCTGTCATTTTTTAGGTGCGGAAACTCAGACATATCTCTTTACCTTTCCATTCGAGAACACTAAGAATATTGTATTTATTAATTGTTACATGCCGATGTCCAACAAACTTTCAAACATGTTTCTCTATTTCTGTGCAGATGTGCATTCTTGGCATAGACTGGTACCCGGTCCCACCTCTCGGCTTACGAGTAATTGAGGTGGAAGCGAGTACCAGTCTATTCTTGACACTCTCGCGGTTGTGTAGACTGGTACTCGCTTCCACCTCGATTACTCTAAGCCGAGAGGTGGGACCGGGTACTAGTCTAGCAGTTGTGCAGTTGCATGTGCAGTTGTCTTATGCGTATCGATATGTATCGACACATGAATATTTTAGAGAAAGTTCCCAGTAGATGGCGCCCACATAAGGTGGGGGCGGACTGACGTCACTTCCCCTTAGCAACACATCCGGTGAGCCGGGGCCGATGACAACAAAGCGCGAATCAGCTATATTCGGGCCGGTACGGGAGACGACGGTACGCATATATTTGCTAATAGTAATATATTGACTAATCGTGCATCAATAAACTCAATATTCACAGAGAGTATAGCTAAGACATGTGTCTATAGGTATTCAGTGAGACATGATACAGCGGTCAGCGGATGATCTTGTGTCACCGCAATGTGTGGTTTTATAAAATAGCAAAACATATACCCATGATACACTGTACATCCCCCTGTCACGCCGCGCCGCGCACACACACCACACACCTGCAACCTTAAAGGCCCGCTCAGGTCGGCCTACGATTTGACTATCGGCGACTACTTTAGCGCCGATTAGCAGCGTAGCAACACTCATGTCGACTTGAAGTGACTACGCTGCACATCGCCGATCACATCGTAGTGTTCCTGCATGAAACGTAGACGGGTTCGCCGCCCCAGTATTTGTACTAGCACAAGCAGTTCTTTAGCACAAACAGAGCAAGCTTGACACCGGGACCAGTCTACATAAAACGAGTCACGTACGTGACCAACAAAATGGCGCTTACCAGTAAACATCATGTAACTTCGTAAATCTATCCTCAATTTTCTGAACATTGTTATCATCATGTGCACAGTGCAGACATTTTTTTCATGTGATATACGGAAAACTTAGTATATACTTGAGAAAGGGTTTGTGCAATAATCCTTTCTTGTAAACTGCAACGCGTGCTGTGTAGGCTGCCATTTTATTAATCACGTGACTTTTGATAATCATGTGACTCGGTACGCTGCGGTGATTGGCTGCCACTCACGATTTGTCCCCGACAGCCGCATAGAAATAGAACATGTTCTATTCCTGCGATCGCAGTCAGCGACCGTATTTTCGATCGTAAGAGAACTCATGTCGAGTTTGGTCGCCGATGTTTTTATCAGCGATCTGGCCGGTTTTTGACGTACGATATTCAAATCTTGTCGGCGACTAGGTCGTAAGGCCGACATAAGCGGGCCCTTAGCCTACTACTATATACACCGCACCCACGCGGGTACTGCAGCTGTAATCTAGGCATTAACGCGTTGACCTTATGTAACCCACACGTTCGAACTGCGCTGGCGACGATGTGTCTGGAAAATCGGCAGATAACGGATAAGCCCTTGGCTCAGAGCCAAGCTAGCTGCCGCGCACGCCGTATTAAGGAATAATGGGCGGGGCTTACGGTCTCACTAAAATGCAGATTTACGAGGAAATTGAAGGGCGCAGCATGCTAAATAGCACGTAATTTTTGTTAACAAGCCACTAGCTATCGATTAAGACAGTTCGCGAGTAGATTGATGCGACAGAACGTTAGATCAGCGATTCGTACATCGAAATACATTAGATGTAACTTGCGTGATGAGGGGCGGAGGGCGATGCCTGTTTAAGCGTGGCACTGCATGCCAATCATCGGGCTGTGCCCTGGTTTTTACGCCCATCACATCTAGAATATATTATGCAAATGATCTCCTGTACCGGCTTGAATTCATACTCTCTGTGAATATTGAGTTTATTGACTCACGATTAGTCAATATAGCAAATATAAAATTATATATGCGTGTGGAAGTGAATTACAGATGATTAAATTTCTAAAATTCTAGATACCTATAGACACATGTCTTAGCTATACTATCTGTGAATATTGAGCTTATTGACGCACGATTAGTCAATATATTAGCAAATATATGCGTACCGTAATCTCCCGTACGGTACCGGCTTAAATATAGACACCCCCGAATCAGCTGCTGCGGTCACAGGCACTTGAAGCGTTTCAATAAAATATATACGCATGGGTCGTGTGCTGTGCACGGCGACAGTTAAATATATAGAATCGAAATGCTCCAGATTGACGAAATGCTGGCCACCATCCCTGTGACGGTTCAGCAGGCAGCAGAAGAAGAGACTGTGATGGAGAGTGGATGCGTCAAGGAAAGCATTCGGGAGATACTCCCTGACCAGTGTCCTTTGTCAGTCGATGACTTGCTAGCCGAGCTGCGGCCAAGAGATTCGGTGACTCCTATTCAGCTGCAGTTGATTGCCATTGGTGATACTCTCCTTCATTCTGGGAAAGAGAGGATGCAAAATTTCATTAATCAAACCTGGATTGTTATTTGTAATAGTTTCGCGCAGCATCTATCGCAACCCAAGCCAGAAACACCAATCAAATGCAAAGATCTTACCAGCTTCTACACCAGCAGACACACCTTCCTGGGTTCTGACGCATACAGGCAAAGCTGTGCATCACTGATGGAATGTACCCTGGCACAGCTAGATGACAGCCAAACGCTGTTCAGCTGGAAAGCCGTCGACATCATTGGTCGTGTAGTCTTAGAAACAGCATCTTCTCATGCCGTAAAAAAGCAGCAAGCTGAACTTGACATTCTTCCACTGGATGAACTACAGCTAAGCGCAGAAGGATTGGGAAAGATACGGTATTTGGCTGGTCGATGTGTAGCCAAACTAACATCTAAACATCGCAACAGTTGGCGACGCCTCATGTATGCTGAAGGGTCACATCAGAAAAAGTTCTGTAAGAGTACAGTTGAAACACTAAACTATCTGGACTGTCTCACTGCATCCTATGCAGATCTTCACAAAACAAGTGAGGTGCCAGAAACACTGGAAGAAACTGCTCGGAAGCAGAATATACGACAGTCACTGTACAACATCAGTGACAAGGCGTTTCGGTTTTTCTTGCTACTAGAAAAACACCGTGTGCATTTAGAAACCAAAGGCCGGTTTGATGTCGAGCAACAGGATGTCATTTCTGTTGTTGAAGCGCAACTTCTCGACACAGCAGAGTTGAAGCAGGCATGGAGGGCATTATTTCTCTCCACGGATGTTACAGAAAGTGCCAGTCTTGATACTCTGTTTTGGAAGATCGTCCATTCATTTGTCCTGGTTACAAGCAACTACTTCCGAAAAGATCTCATCAGGTCCTACGGTCAAAAGAAAACGGAGTCCCACAGGCGGCAAATTCAAATGAGACACCAGCAAGAGAAAGACCTAACTGCTAAACTGTCTTCGGCCACAATTGCAGCAGACACATCAGAAAGGAAACAACTGACGCATCTTCAACTTCAGAGCATTTTAAGATCTAACCCCAACTTCTTCTCTGCTCGCACATATTCAAAGGAAGAGCTAAAAACCTTTTTCAAGGCCTACACTCTACCATGGCGAACACGCAGATTGAAAACACAACTTGCGGAGGACCTCTGTGCAAAAATACTTGCAGTAGACAGCATGTCAGAACCGAATGCGTTTGGAGCATCTTCACCCATCAGCTCGACTGCAGATGTCCTGCCAGCGACTTGTGATGAGCCACAGCCTGGTCCCTCTGGCCTTCAACACCATACAATGACCCCAACAATAGAACCTCAACCAACTACAAGGAAAAGGGCAACTGCTGCTGGAAAAGGGAAAGGAAAAGGAAAGCACTCCAGGTCAGAAAGAAAGATCGCACAAGAACCGGCTTACATCTGCCCAACGTGCAGCAAGGATGTGGGGGACTTCCCATGTGTTGGTTGTGATATATGTGGAGCTTGGCTACACAGAGAATGTGCTGGCTTACTCGATGATAAAAATTGGGCTGAAGTTTCTGCGTGTGACGAGCCGTGGACATGCCCAAAATGCTTTAACATGCAACAGTAAACAATAGATCAATCGTTGTGTAATCATAACCCTAAAGCTATGTCTCCACACACGCGGCATGACACGACACAGCAAAACGCAGCGCCGTTGTGCTGAAAGAAATGCATTGTGATTTCACGCATTGTATTTGAGCCATGGCATTCCGTGCTGTGCCGCGTGTGTGGAGACGGGCCTTAACAAGTATTCGTACCTGGAGAATAATACCTGTGTTCCGCTAAGCATCACTCTTCTATTTCTTTGGATTGATGGGTTTCTGCACTCGACATGAGAAGGGCTCTGCTGCTACTCCAGTGTTGCAACGACTGTTATTTACAGTGTCTGCGGTTAATATGATGGTGTTCATACCATACATAAACTGCTTGTAATTGGGGTTGTCATTGGCCCCATGCGAAATGGCTCTCTGCTGGCAGAAGATGTTTTTGACCGAGTCGCTGTTGACTCGAGCAGCATTTATGCTTGTGCCAGGATGGGTTTTCTGTTTCCGGCGAACAAGACTTTCAAAGCCCAGAATGGTTGACTTCATGTCGAAGCGTGTCTCCTGTGACATCAACTTTTTTCGCTTCACAATGGCAGTGTTCTGTAGATCGCTGATTACGGCGTCCTCCCATGATGTGAACCATTGCAGTGCTCTCGCATTGCAAGGGAGCCGATCGTCTTCTACTGATGTCATAGGACGTGTGTCGGTGAAGTTCGCAATCAGCACTGGTTGCCTCCAGCAGCTGTATCGCACCGTTGAGCCAATCTCCATTTCGACCTTCAGCTTTCTGGTAAGCGTAGTGAAAAGTTGTGGTATTATTACGACATATATTTAAATAAGAAAAATGGCATGCACATGTACGGGGCATGAAATTCCAAATTTTTATGTACCGCTGTATAATTGCACTTTTGTGATTAGCCCTGGGTCTGTAATGGGCAAAATAAATGGTCAAATACGCAACTTTTCCTGGGTGGCAGCGCGGTCGCTGGTGTCATGGCGCCGTTCAAATTTCGTAGCGCTGATGTGTAATTAATTATAACAATTAAAGGGACAGTAGCCTCTAGGATTTTACTGCATACAACTGTACTTACTGTATAACAAATCGTGCTATACCACAATGATCTTGTCACCAGTACTTAATAATTATTTAAGGCACATCAACGCTACGTAAATTTGAGAGGCGCCATGACACCCTGAGACCGTGCATGGCCACCTGAAAGTTGCGTATTTGCAATTTTTAATTTGGCAGCGTAAATGACCGAGGGCTAATCACAAAGTGCAATTATATTACTACCTAAATGGGCTATTTAACCGAACGATATTCATTTTAGGCAAATTTATCCATATTATAAGTGAAACTATATGGTCGTTTTATAAGATATTACAAATCCTTTTGCCTTTAAATGAATAAATAAGAATACGCCTCTGTCTGTAGCCGCTTGGCTGGAAAGTGGTTTTGCGAACTTCTTGCAGTCGTGGCGCGGTTTGAGTGGCGCCACCGTCGTTGTAATCAAACTGTAGTCGTTAAGTTTTAAAACCATTTTAAAAAAAGATATTCTAATGGTGATTGAAACCATGAACTTTTTATGTAGCGCAATTATAAACCTAAATTAGCTGAAAATAACCCTAGAACCTAGAGGCTACTGTTCCTTTAAATTAGGTATCTGGTAACAAATACGTGTGGGTATAGACGATTTGTTATACAGTAAGTACAGTTGTATGCAGTAAAATCCTAGAGGCTACTGTCCCTTTAACTTTTTTAAATTTTTGTTTCAGCCAGAACTACCTCCCAGACGTGCTGATTCTGAAAATATCTTTAGTTTTCTTCTAGGCGGCAGAGTTCTCTAGTTATGCGAGTACGGACTAATTCAGCTGAACAACTTTATCTATATAGATGATATGATATGATATGCTATGATATGATATGATATACGTGCTATGGCTGCAAATATAGAATAAACTTAGCTCTGGAATAGAGATCATACCTGGATCTACTTCTACTTCTAACCAATCCTGGCCGCCTTCATTCTACATAAAATTCTATGAGAGGCAAAGAAGGACGATCTATTATATATCTATTAATCTAGATATTATTATATAGTATGATTCCAGAATTAAAGAGATATTAAATAATCTCTGTGTATCATAATAGGAATTCCTCTGCAACATATTCTGTCCGCTAACTGCTAAGTGAAATTTATTCATCTTATATGTGATTATATCTTCAAGCCAAGGTATGTCAATACTAATGAACGTCTTTCACCGTTTTGAAAATAAATTCTCACATGTTTGCCAAATCTCATTTTACACGCATTGGAACTATAGTCATAGAAACTCGATTTGGGATATTTCTCGATATTGCAGTTTTCAAAAGCAGTATTGCTACAGATGACTTTTCAGAAATAATTTAGCTCACGTACAAAGGTTCACAAACTAAAAGCATTATATAATAAGCCAATGTCAATAGTTTTAGGATTTTACGAGACGTTGATCTAAATAGGAAATGTGGTAATTCAGTGAATACTCTCAATTATGTGTGTGTAAGTATGATAAGGAATCTTTAGATCCGTACTTCTCTAATACTAACGTAGAAGAAACACTATGATTCATGACCTATGTATCCAGGGGCGTGTACAGGGGGGGTCCAGGGGGTCCGGACTCCCCCTGCTCGCGCAGAAACGCATCTAAGGGGGTCTAATTTCAAAAAAAAATTGGGGGGAGGGCCCCCAGACCCCCCTTTGCGTGCTCGCAAGTTTGGGTTACGGTTAGACCTTCCCTGGTACAAATCCTGTAGACGCCCCTGATATCATGTTGTTCATATATATATATATATATATACCATATATCATTATGTATCATGTTGGTCTGGAGTTTGTACGCTGGGGAATTTATCAAACGTTCCAGAACTGTCACAGAGAAAACTACCTGAAGCCACACTGCAATTTCTCCATAACCACTATTTTCATTTTCATATTCACGTCTCATTTTTATTGTATTATTCTCCCACCTCACCTCGTATTCATTTCCCCCTACACCTGTTAATTTTTCTCATCTCTTATTCCTTCCTCTTGCCGCTTCCCCTTTTCCCCTGTCTTTTCTTGTCTTTTGTTTTATTACTTTTTCACCCTCTGCTTAACTGCTTCTTAATCTAGCCTGCTAATAGCATTGTTCAAATTCTTTGTTACTCCTACTTCTCTTCTACCTTCTCCTCCGTCATCTCCTCCACCTCCGCCGCCACCACCGACCCTTTCTCCGCATCTTTCTTCTTCTTCCGTTTTCATGTACTTTTTCTTCTTTTCTTTATTTCATCTTCTGCTTCGGGCACGCATACATGCACGCTTGCGTCTGTGCGTTGTGTACATATATATATATATATATATATATATATATATATATATATATATATATATATAAGGGAAGTAAATGAAGTTAAGGGCAGTTAAGCGAAAGAGAAGGGAAGCATAAAAGCATATGCTTCCCTTTTCTGTCGCTGCCTAGTTCCGAACTCTGATAACTACTAAACCTCCGCTAATGCACTGCTAAAAGCCCAAATCAGTGCAAGATCTGGTACCGATACTCTCCGCTACCCCTAACGGTACTCGATGTCATATCACAAGATGGCGTGACCCTATCTATTCTAACATTTCAAATATAATATACGTGGAATGTTATTCAACTTATTTACAATTATGTGTAGGTAACTTGACAGGGTTATGACGGATGACACCTACACCTTTTATGTTAGGTGTATTTGACTGCGTTTAATAAATACTTCTGGTAAGTTATTACAATAAATTTCACAAAAATTGAAAAAAATTATAACGAGATGCTTTGGAAATGGAAGTTCAAGTTTCGGTTCAAGGATAGAGATGATGGGTGCAAATCCACTTTAGGCACCTTAGGTATCACGAAGTGATGCACAGATTTCTATGGTATCTGTCATCAACTGATGCACAAACTTTCCGTATATCAAGGAATGATGCAAAAACCCTAACCCTAACCCTAACACTTCGTGTCATCGTGATACCTAAGGAAGGTTACCGTACCTATACTTTATGACTTAGGGTTAGGGTTAGGGGTTTTGCATCATTACTTGATATACGGAAAGTCTGTGCATCAGTTTATGATACACAGAAATCTGTGCATCACTTCGTGATACCTAAGCCTAAGGTGCCTAAAGTGGATTTTTGCCGAGATGATGTCCAGGCGAAGTTTCTCAGTTCTCTGACAATATGTTGTATCACGGAAATATCATCATCATATCACATATGATGTATGTACTATGTAGCATGTGAGGTTTCTTAGGCATAGGCTTAGCCGTAGGCATAGTTGTAGATTTTTTAGGTAATGCAAATATATATATTGCAAGGAAGGAAGGATATCGAATTTTAGCGAAATGACACTCTACCCCTACTATAAACCGACCAGGCTCTCCGACTGTTACATGGCGGAGGAGCCTGACACCCTTCCATACGAAATGCCTGGTAGCTTGAAAGCAAACTCCGAATTTCGTAAAATTTCGTAAATAAAACAATGTATTACCACATTTGACCTCGCCTGTTACATGTTCAATGATGTTGCAACTATCGCTACACTTCTTAATTACTATTTACCTTGAAATACACGTTAAAATAAGAGAATTTCGAACAGCTATACTATTTGAACGTTGTAAAACGCCATTCTGGATGTTCTTATGTCTCTTCTTGTATGCAAAAATTCACGAACTTTCGCTACGTATTATGGGATATCTATGGGGAAAATGGCGGCGTTTTTTGAGTTTTATCTTATCAATTCATAAACAATTACTCGCTGACACGTAAGTACATGCTCAGTGATAGCGCACATATAATAAATCGAGGCGTTGAAGTACAGAGAAGCTGTAAGAATCATAAAAAGTTAGATAATTTAACGTTAAATAGCAGCGCACGTACTGCCGAACAAAATTCTAATGCGTCGGTTTGTGACCCTCTCGCCACGTAGTGTTAAGCGAGATGGGAACTTGTGGCTACCCCTACTAGTACTACGACTACTAGTACTAGTACAACTATAGCCCGCATACAGTTGCCGCTGGACTATAGGACCAGTCATTAGGGATGCGCGGGACCAACTTACTCACGCTTACTCGCGAATATAAAACATCCGTGGTAAGCAATTAATGCCTCTTATCCGAAGTGAATATGTCTTAAGTTATATCAGCTACTAAAATTTAACCTCTAACTATCGTTGCAATGGTATACTTGCGGTATTTCTTGTGAACGAACATTCGATTTGCGAACTTTAAACGGCCATTTTTGGCGGCACCGCAGCAGCGCCAGTCAGCAGGAACTATGTATTTCTGCACGTGGAGGGGTGGGCGGGTTCTTTTCGCTGTGGACAAAAACATTGTTGTTGTCAAGTAACAAATTAAGCGATCAAAAAAGATTATAATATTAGTTTTGTCATGAAAGATGAACAAGTTACTATTATTAATTTGTTACTTGACAACAACAATGTTTTTGTCCACAACAAAACCAACCTGCCCACCCCTCCACGTGCAGAAATACATAGTTCCTTCTGACTGGCGCTGCTGGAGTAAGTTAGGTTCCAGCATTCGTAATGCTGTCCTATAGCCCAGCGGCAACTACGAGGGCTATAGTTACTAGAGCTACTACTACTAATAGGTCTAACTTAAACTAGGTTAGGTAAGTAAGTAAGATATTGATTATTACAGGGTGGTTTATGGATGTAACCTGACACAATTCATTTTCGCAATTTGCGACATATGCAAAGTGGACAAGCTCTTATATCTTGACCATATGACAGTTATTACACAGTAAGTGCAATAAGGTTAATACTTGTTGAACAAGAGTACTATAGTACAGGTAGATAGTACTAGTAGTATAGTTACAGACATTGAGCCAAGTAGAAGTATAATGTTCATGTCAATGGCATACTTAGTATTAGTACTGAGAGCCGATATTGTAGCTAAAGTAATGTGCAAAAATGCCAAAACCACAAATTAGTAAATACGGTTTAGTGTGGTACTTATGAAGTCACACGTACTTGAAAGGGCCACCATCACGGCATCGCATAACATTGGTGAAATTGGCTTCATCCTATCCTAGTAACATGTTATGTTGTTAGCTATAAATGATATGACAAACTTTACTGCATCTGGCAAATATTTATTTTGGTGTGTCGTTGTCAGTCCGTCAAACTGAACATTAATAGCAGCACCAGGGCAATAGTAATGATGCTCATTATGTTACAAATTTATATAAGAAAATGTAAGAAGAGACGTCTAGTCTCAACTTGGGCTTTCTAGTCAAGTGGCAAATATGTCTCTTCCTTGTAGTTGAAGCGTGTCCCCATTGGCTCTTATGAATCTAGACTAGTGATGAGATTTGGTTGGAAACTTGAAATTTCATGATCGACTATCAGTTTTACTGATGTAGCTGATCATTGATTACAATCTATTATAATATTGACTGTGAATATTAGATTTTAATAACAGATCATATTGTGAGTGACACTGTTACGAAGGCTCGAATGATAAAAATTTGCCCCAAATTCTAAAATGCGTGAATTACGACCGGTACGTTGAGGATGCGAAGTGTAAATTTGGCCTGATGAAATGATACACTGATGCATGACTAGGTGTAATAACAGTGGTCAGTGGTCACTGCAGGGATATTTTGCTGGATAAGGCTGCAGTGTTGAAAACCCTAATGCATACCTGTTCGTTTTCCACTATTTTTAGGCCTTAGTTTTAATGCAAAATGTAGGTGTATGTGCTTTGGTGGAATAAGGTATATTTAGATTTCTGCTCTATTCAAACAATCGGTTTATTGCTCAGATATTGTTTATTCGGTACATACATACTTGTTAGGTTAGAATCAATATGTATCTGTGCTCTTATCACTATCAGTTGAGAAGTATTGATGAGTAATGCGGTAACATGGCTCAGCGCTTTGATGATGCCACAGCCGACTGACCTACATTGTTTAGAATTAGATGTCAATATTTTGTACTGGACCCATGCGTGCGCAACTTGTATATCCCTGTGGCTGTGTCGTTGTGGGCAAGTGGGAGTACAGCATGTGACCGGTCAGTGTTTTTAACATTGCGTTATTTCGAGTTCACCATCATTGTTGCCTAACTATGACACCTACCTCGTCATCGTGCATCCCATCTCGGTGAGGCAAGGATGCCGTGCATACGGGTGCTCAATGCCCGGCTGTATTAGTTGCACAGATGTGAGCTCTCTGCAGCATAAAGGCAGTGAATGGCTAGGCGGATGGGTGCAGCCTTTGCTTTATAGCAGCAGTCAATTCGCTCGATTAAATGATACAACAAAGATTGTGAGCCTGATCAGGTTTCAGGGGTTGCAGAGTGAAATCACACATGATATATTCAAGAGTTGTTCTTCATGAATGATGCAAAAAAATGGCATTAAAATCCGTTACGGCCTGAACACATTAGGGAGTGAACATGATTACTTCAAAGCATAGCACTGTGGATTGTACACATGGGTCGAAATCCTAGGTGGCCCGCGGGCCCGATCCCCGAATTTTAAGGCTCGGGCCTGACAGTTCTAATACTAACAAGCCCGACGGGCCCGTAGAAAATCCACCCCCAGCATGCAAAACCGTCCCCAGCCTTTAAAATTTGCCTGGCGGTCCTGTAAAATCCCTTACCTACAGGCCCATCTGGCCTGTAAATTTTCAAACTAATTTCTATCCCTGGTACAGCATAGAATCTCTGGGTGGGAAGTGTTTGTTCCTAAGCTCGTGTAGATAAAAAAAAGCCATTCTTATTTCACAACTGTTTTTAGGAATAAGGATTTACTGCAGAGTAATGGATTATCAAGTTTTTTTCAGATGGCCGGACCATCTTTGAGATCAGTGTAAATTCATGGGAAAAATTTGGGGGAGGGGGTAAAAATACGGTTTCGAGACCAGAAGCTGTAAGTACTTCAGATGTGCGAAAGCTCTTGAATAAAGGTCACCTCTTTCCATACTCTCCCCCCTACCCCTGGGTCCCATCCTGTGTGCCTGTGGCACACACTATTTGTTGTCCTCATATTTTGTTCAATTATGGTTTCAGTTTTTTTTTTAGGTAGGGTCATTCATTCTTATTAATTTGTTTTTTTGGTGCATTACATGAAATCATCACGGCCGTCATTATATCCTATCGCGGGCGGGGGGTAATGCAAAAAAATGACATCAAAACATTGTTGCAATTTTGTTGATGGACAATGCACGTAGTCACCGCAACACGGTCCACAAAAGCTATTGTTTACTGTTACTTCTTACTGCTGGCACAACTAAGCTTGAAATAAGTCACTTGCAAAAATTCTGTGTATTCCTGACGATGAAATGCTTATCATAGATTTAGAGAATACAAAGCATTTTACTTGTGGAACACTTTGTTGACTTGACCAGTGTAGATTAGCTCTCATAGCCTAAACAAGTGACAATGGTTAGATGTCGAGTTTAATTTGATAGTAATACAGCTTTAAACGTTTTACATATGTACATAGCTAATACAGTATAAATGATAATTATGTTTATAAATGAATCTAAATATCGTTTTTTTTCAATATTAAATTTTATATAAAAAAAACTTTTTCAGTATTTTCTAAGTTTAAGTACGCAGCGTTGGTGAATGCGTACGGAATCTTCCCATTGTATTGCTCGGGTATCTGAGTATATGTGTGCCGACTGCTCATGGTGAGCACGTGGTGGGGCTGGCATGTAGGCAGATGTGTGGAGCACTACGTCAATAGTCATGGAATGCAGATTATAGGTTGTTGCCTCTCGCGTTTTTCAGTTGAGGATGGATCCTGAAAGGAAGAGAAGGACGGAGTGCCTGGAGAAGATGCTCACGGACACGAGGAGCAACATCCACATAGATGGAGTCATGGTGAGAAGGCTTCACTCCCCTTCCCCCCTCAGCTGTGCCTCTCTCTCTGTATCTCTCTCTATCTGTGTGTTGTGTGTGTGTGTGTGTGTGTGTGTGTGTGCGTGCGTGCGTGCGTGC